TACAGCCTGTCATTCAGATCCTGTGGGACTCCTTTCAAGCACGGTGAGTGGAGTGCGGCTGCTGCTGTGGCTGGTGCTGCTGGTGGTCTTCACGCTCTGCATTCAAAACGTGGATGATATATTTGCCACCGCTGTTGACGGGGAGACGCCGACGACGGTTACCAATGGCATACAGCCGGTCATTCAGATCCTCTGTGGGACGTCTTTCAGGCGCGGTGAGTCAAGTGCTCGGGAGCCATGAAGGGCATGAGGTGGGTGAGTGGGTCGAGAGTAGGTGGGTGCTGCTCTCTTCCCTTACTCCCCTTTCTCTGTTTTCTCCTCTCTCTCCGTTTCCCCTTCATCCCCTCTCCCCACACCAGCTATGGCTCAGGTGTGGGAGCGCAGATATTCACAGGCATCATCTACACCTCCTTTTTCTTCGGGACTGTGTCGGGGCAACTTGGAGCGTCTCGCGTGGTGAGTGCTGGGGCAGCTGGGGGCGTGAGGGGCAGCTGGGGGCGTGAGGGGCAGCTGGGGGCGTGAGGGGCAGCTGGGGGCGTGAGGGGCAGCTGGGGGCGTGAGGAGCAGCTGGGGGCGTGAGGGGCAGCTGTGGGCGTGAGGGGCAGCTGGGGGCGTGAGGGGCAGCTGGGGGCGTGAGGGGCAGCTGGGGGCGTGAGGAGCAGCTGGGGGCGTGAGGAGCAGCTGGGGGCTCGGATGGATGGGGATATTCACAGGCATCATCTATACGTCCTTCTACTTTGGGACTGTGTCGGGACAGCTAGGAGTGTCTCCAGTGGTGAGTGTGAAGAGAGGAGGTGACTGGTGACTCGTGAGTGTCGGGAGTAGCGGGACAGGTGGGGGCAACCCAAATGGTACGTCACAAGTGTGTGACAACAATGAGAGGATGTGAGTGGGAGTAGAGGAGGCGCTTTGGACATTTACATGCCCCCTCCTTCTCCTGATCCCTAAACCTTATACCCTAAAGCCGAACCCCTTTCTCCCTTTTTCCCCCTCATCCGTTCCCCTCCCCCCCTTCCCTAGGCCTACGCCCTGGCACGTGACGGAGGCCTGCCCTTCTCCTTCCTCTGGTGCCGCCTCGCGCCCAACAAGGTCCCCGTGCTCGCCCTGCTGCTAACCTCTCTCCCCCCCCCTTCACTCCCACTTCCCCTCTTCAGGCCTACGCCCTGGCACGTGACGGAGGCCTCCCCTTCTCCTTCCTCTGGTGCCGCCTCGCGCCCAACAAGGTCCCCGTGCTCGCCCTGCTGCTAACCTCTCTCCCCCCCCCTTCACTCCCACTTCCCCTCTTCAGGCCTACGCCCTGGCACGTGACGGAGGCCTCCCCTTCTCCTTCCTCTGGCGCCGCCTCGCTCCCAACAAGGTCCCAGTGCTCGCCCTCCTCCTCTCCGTGGTCATCGGAATCATCTTCCTCCTGCCACTCCTCTACACCTCCACCACAATCTTCTTTGCCTCTTCCCTTCCTCCCCTCTCCCCCTCTTTCCCTCTCCCCCCTTTCCCTCCTCCCTCCTTCCCACCCTTCCTTCAGGCCTATGCTCTGGCTCGAGACGGAGGCCTCCCCTTCTCCTTCCTCTGGCGCCGCCTCGCTCCCAACAAGGTCCCAGTGCTCGCCCTCCTCCTCTCCGTGGTCATCGGAATCATCTTCCTCCTGCCTCTCCTCTACACGTCCACGACCATCTTCTTTGCCATAGCATCCATCTCCAGCATCGGCTGGGTGTCGGCCTACTCGGTGCCCATCTTCTTCCGCTTCATTCAAAAGGAGGACCACTTTCAACCCGGGCCATTCTACATGCCCAACTACATCGGGGTCATCGGCGGGTAAGACAGACGCACACACTCCACTGGCTAATGTGGCCATCGCAGCATGAGTTCTCATCTCTTCCCTCATCAACCCCCGTCCCTCGGACCCCTCCCAACCAATTTGTGTCCCTCCCCATCTGTTGTGTCTGCACCCCCGCCACACCCATTCCCTCTCGCAGGAAAATCCTGCACTTGCTGGCGCTGGTGTGGGTGCTCTACACCATGGTAGCCTTCCTGCTGCCCTACGCCTTCCCAGTCACGGTCGAGAACCTCAACTGGGCTCCAGTGGCCATTGCAGTGTGGGTCACCATCTTTGTCACGTGGTGGATTGTGCACGCTCGCTTCTGGTTCAAGGGACCGGTTCGGGAGATTGTTCCGATCACGGAGGAGAATGGCGGGGAGAAGGAGGCCGAGGGGAAGTTGGAGTGATAAAGACGACTTTTGAGTTGACTCGAGAGTCTCGATTACGCTCCTTTGGCCATTGCAGTGTGGGGCTATCTTTGTCACGTGGTGGATAGTGCACGCTCGCTTCTGGTTCAAGGGGCCGGTTCGGGAGATTGTTCCGATCATGGAGGAGAATGGCGGGGAGAAGGAGGCCAAGGGAAAGATGGAGTAAGAGAGAGACACAGTGGCTATTGCAGCTTGAGTCGACTCAACAATATGAATCTGGCCCCTGTGGGCCTGTGGCCTTTGCAGTGTGGTAACGGAGTGAGAACGGTGGGGAGAAAGAGGCCGAGGGAAAGATGGAGTGAGAGTGGTTGGTTTTAGGTGGTGTGTGCAAACAAGTTTTCTCTAGGGTGGTCGTGTCGTGTATAGTTTTTATTTATTGCCATGCCATGTAGATAGTGAGGACTTTCCATACTCATCACCGGGTTTTTGGACGAGAGCTGGCGTCATGGAGACCGCCACAACTTATTCATAAAGAAATAGCAGATCAGTTTCTTAGAAGCGTGCTTATGCTAATCCACTCATCATAGAATGAAGGGGTTTGAATTTATCTTAGTCACTAACTGTCCAAGCAGAGATTCACTAACAGGTCATAATTGCCAACTCCTAGGGGCGTATGCTGCAAGAACAGGGAGCCTTCTGTACGTGCAGAGGTCGGCTCGGTTCATGCGTAGAGTGCTTTGCACCAACGATTTTCATGCCCTCAGCTGTGTCGCAAGGACCCCAGTTACACATGACATCGCCGCTGTGTCATGCCGAAAACCTTCCGGCGTGAAACTGCTTTCGAAATAGGTCCTCCCAGGTTGTGGTTGCAACCCCTCCCCCCAACACCCCAACATTCTTCCGGCCTGCTGCCTCAAACCCGAGCCTCAGGTCAAGGATTGTGTTGCGTCATTCTCGGTCATTTCCCAGATTCCCACACAAGCCCTTCCTGAAATGGGACCAAGCTGTTCTTCACTGCTGCAGGTCAGACAGGGTGTTTTCAGTGGCTGTAGCCCGTCCGAGCTGTCATTGATCTGTCCACATCCATCCAGCCAAGTTCTCTCAGCTGACGTGTAGTTTTTTGTCGAACCGATCAGGATTTTCTACCTCCCTCCTCCGCCTTGATCCATTTTCCCCTACTGTAGACTTCGAGATGAGCTTCTTGCAATCCCTGGCGCAGCAATCTGCCCCACTGACCTGCCATGCCAGCCAGTCCTATGGCTCAAAATATGATCGACGAGTCGCGCATTTCTCGAAGCCAATGTGCGGCTTGAGCAAACAAGCTGTCCAATGGCCACAGACGAAATTCTCCTTCCCCCACAACCCCTCTCCATTCACACCACCCCCACACACCTCCGTTCCCAACCCCCCTTCCTCACACTTATGGCCTTATGCATCTACATAAAGTATCTTCCCCCAACTATCCCCCAACATCCCATCCCATCCCCTCCCATTCTGAAGAATTCGTTTGTTCCAAACCTAACACCCGTTTGTTCCCGCCAATATCCTAACCGCTCACCACACCTGCCTCATCCCGCCTCCTCGAGAGTACTTATCTCAGCCAGATTCCATCCCATCTACACTAACAGGTCGGTAAATAACAGCGCGGCATACTAAGAATCGCAGTTTCTAACAACCCAAGACCTCCCGCGCCATCCCCAGAACTGCTAGGGTGTGCCGACCGCAGACCCTTAATTTTCAGCGGGCTTTGACCCTGATATTCCTGGGTTTACTGTTCCTCTTGGTCTTCTCTTTCTCTTGAGAATTCTCCCAACCATTTCTGTAGAATGCGTATCTGAGGACGAGTCATGCCTTCCCTAACTGTTCAGAACGTTGAGAACACGCTATGAAACGCTTAATATCGTACACCACCGTATTCTGAGAACTAGCTTACCTCTCCCCCTGACTTCTGCTTCCACGTTCTCTCATCCACCGAGCGGAGTGGAGTACGTTTGGGGTTCATGTACCGATTTTCTAACTGATTTGTAGCAGCGGTTCAAAGCAGTAAAGAGTCCTCAAGCTCGAAGTGCATGTATCGTTCTCAGCTGCGTTTTCCGGACAGAGCTAAAACTCGCGACACGTCGACAGTGCAAGCTGACAAGAGCTTACTATTTTCATCCTCCTTGACTTGCAAAATCTTCATTCTGATGTGCGTGATCATCGTTTGCCGAACTTGTTGAGTGGAAGCTTCTTACTTGCCCCGTGGCAAAAAATTGCTGTGCAAGGAGGAGGAGTCCGTAGCGCGATTCGTTACACAAAACTCTTGATTTCATATCCGAATCCGCGCCCTTGTTTCATTGCTGGGAACTACAACTACTAGTTTAGGGTGTTCGTGCCGCATCATATTTTACCCGTCTCCAATAAAATCCCGACTTCGGGCCGTGCAACATGACTTATCTTCAGAGTTGTCTCAAAATAAGTGGAATTCCAGATCTAGAACCCGCCGGTACAGTTCTCAGCTAGCTCATAATCCCGAGGGATACGCCGTCCTCTTCTTGCAAGGAGTACTTTCTACGAGTATTTCCTGAAAGGAGTACCAGAGCTGGTAGTACGAGCAATACCCCTCCGCCGCGTCACGTACGTAGTAGTAAGCTGTGTCGTTGACGCTGTGCTGGCGACAAATGGTCGCAATGGTCGCAACACCAGTGATACTAGCTGCTGAATGCGACGAGATAGAAGCGTCGCCCGGCGACAGTTGCGGAGCGACGAAACAATGCCAGTTCGACGCGTGCGATCACTACACGACAGATTCCACAATCGGCGACGGCCGTCGTGCTATGGCTGACGTGGACCACGACGGCAGCCACGATGACGAACCTTCGAAGAACCTTCCGCCGCAGGGCGAGGAGATGAAGCTGTACACGGAGGCGTCCGCGTTTGAGGGCGCCGCGATAGTGGCGATGATTCAGCGGCTCGACGAGGAGGCCGGAACGGAGCAGAAGATCCTTCAAATAACCATGGAGGACGGAATCACGCTCTCCGTCGAATTGGATCCCGCAGAGAAACGCCTGAACGAGCTGGGTTACCGACAGGAGCTCCGCCGCTCGCTGGTGAGTTCTCGTCTGTCCCTATCACTCAAAGTAGAACGGAGCAGAAGATCCTTCAAATAACCATGGAGGACGGAATCACGCTCTCCGTCGAGCTAGATCCTGCAGAGAAACGCCTAAACGAGCTGGGATACCGACAGGAGCTCCGCCGCTCGCTGGTGAGTTCATCTCCCACCTCCCACCTCCCACCTGCCATCTCCCATCTCCCACCTCTCCCATCTCCCATCTCCCATCTCCCACCTCCCACCTCTCCCATCTCCCATCTCTCTTCGCAAGCCTGTGTCAACCATCCCTCCAACCTCTCTCTCTCCCCCCAGCGCTTCCTCGGCCTCTACGCAGAGGGTGTGTCACTCATGACTGTCCCCATCACCCCATCAACTCTCCATCCGCCGCCCATCTCCTGCACCCCTCCCTGCCCCCCTCCCTGCCCCCATACCTCTCCCTCCCCCCAGAGTTTCCTCGGCCTCTACGCAAAGGGCGTGTGCTTCATGACTGTCCCCATCACCCCATCCCCCCCCGCTTTAACTCTCCCTCCCCCGATGCCCCAATCTCTTTCCACTTCCCAGCGTTTCCTCGGCCTCTACGCAGTGGGAGTGTCTTTCATGACTGTCTTCGCTGGCTTCGTCCCCACCTATGCGTACGTCCCCTCCCCTCCCCTCCTCTCCCCTCCCCTCCCCTCCCCTCCCCTCCCCTCCCCTCCCCTCCCCTCCCCTCCCCTCCCCACCCTCCTGAAGGAATACTATGGAGAGCGTAGCGATAGCGAGAGAGTTTCTGATATGAGAATGGTGTTGCGCCAGCAACTCAGTAGCGTTTAAGTAGCGTTCGTCTCCAAGGACTTAGTGAGAATTCAAGTAGCAATTGGACTTCACAAGAAAAGTAATATGATCCATGAATACAAAAGCAAACACACATGCAAATATAGGCAAGCAAGAGCTGCACAAATGTTGCGTGGCGCTTCGGTGTAACCCAACCCCACGAAAGTGGTGTGCGGGTGGGTGAACGCGCCCCGCCGAACTTCCATCCAACTCAACAGCGAAATGCATTCCGTGCACGCCACTCCAGCCAACACTGCAAGGAGTGGCGTGACTCTCAAAGAAGCACACCTAACTCCCAAAGACTCACGCCTCCTCACACCGAATCCACCACTTCTCCAAGTTCGTTGCCACCGCTAGCAGTCACGCGCCACAGACATGTGACCGTCACGGAGATCGGTGCCGAGGCATTAGGTCGTCAGTCGCCGACCTGCCAAGTCAAACGCTTCGCGAGGGCCCTTGCTGTCGTAGGGCCCTCTAACACCTCCCTTGCCTCATGTGTGCATGTGCGTATGTGTCCCCACCTACGCTACATGTACATTCCTTCCCCCCTCCCCACCCTTCCTTGCCTCATGCATTTCACGTATACGTACGTTCACATTCACGTGCGTACTCCCCACATGCGTGTGCATTCCCATGTATGCGTATGTGCATTCCCATGTATGCGTATGTGCATTCCCATGTATGCGTATGTGTATTCCCATGTATGCGTATGTGCATTCCCATGTATGCGTATGTGCATTCCCATGTATGCGTATGTGCATTCCCATGTATGCGTATGTGCATTCCCATGTATGCGTATGTGTATTCCCATGTATGCGTATGTGCATTCCCATGTATGCGTATGTGCATTCCCATGTATGCGTATGTGCATTCCCATGTATGCGTATGTGCATTCCCATGTATGCGTATGTGCATTCCCATGTATGCGTATGTGCATTCCCATGTATGCGTATGTGCATTCCCATGTATGCGTATGTGCATTCCCATGTATGCGTATGTGCCTTCCCCTCCCCTCCCCGCGCCCTCGCTTCCCATGCCCGCTCCCCTCACTCTCTCCCTCCTATTTCCCTCCCTCCTCTGCTGCAGTCAGGGCTTCATCAACGGCGGCCCAGCAGGGCTCATCTGGTACTGGTGGATCACAGCCCTCTTCGTACACCTTATAGGCCTCTCCATGGCCGAGATAGCATCCTCGTTCCCGGTGAGGAATAATTCGTTCTACTGCATTGTTCTCTATACCAGCCCTACACTCTGCACTCCATACGAGCCCTATTCATCCACCGTATAGGCCTCTTCATGGCCGAGTTAACATCCTCGTTCACGGTAGGAATACATTCTGTACTGAATAGCTGCCTGCCACTGTTTCCAAGGTGACTTTTGAGTCGACTCAAGAGTCACCTCATAGCTGTCTGCCATTGTTTCCACAAATATATCCCAGGAGTCTTTGTCCGCCTTATAGGCAACTCTATGGCTGAGTTAGCATCCTCATTCACTGAGGTTAGTGTGGCCCTTTTTCGTGTGGTGACACTCTTTACACTCTGCACCGCACTTTACGGCACTCCATGCCACCAATGCTTTTGTGAGTGATGAGGCGATTTTTGAGTCGACTCAAAAATCGCCTCATCATTTACGGCACTCCACTGCAACCAATGCTTTTGCTGCTTAACCATTTCCTTCTTTCGCCATGAACCAGATTTCCTCCCCTCCCCCCCCCCCCCCCCCCCTCCCCCCCCTTCTCCCCCTTTCCCCTCTCGATCCCTCTCCCTTCTCTACACTCCATTTCCTCCCTCCCTACCCCCTTCTGCACTACCTTCCAGACAGCTGGCTCACTCTATTTCTGGGCGGCAGCACTGGCAGGGCCGAAGTGGGGCCCACTGGCCTCATTCATCACGGTGAGATGCAATCTAATTCGATTCACGACGAGATGCGATCTGATTTGATTCACAATGAAATGTGATATGATTTCCTTAGCAACCGTTCTTGCTCTTCCAGGGTTTGATGCAGTTCCAGGGCTTGGCTGGGTGTGGGGGCAACGCCTCCCATCCACCGCTGATCACTGAGAATGCATACCCCTCTCTTCCCGTGCATTGTGACATAATTCTCAGCGAGCAGCAAACTTAGTCAGGCTTAAAGCAAAGGATAGACAGTAAAAACCCTCCTGTATTACTTAGATCTCGACAATCCGAGCTCAATAACTTCAGCAGTAGAGTAAAACATCTCACTACTGCAGCAGGCTTGGCTGGGTGTGGGGGCAAAGCCTCCCATCCACCGCTGTATCACTGAGACTGCAATGCCTGCCCCTCTCTTCCCGTGCACAGGTGGACGCAGTTCCTGGGCCTTGCTGTGTGCATGCCAGTGATCTGATCCGATTCGATTCACAATGCAACGCCTCACATGCGCCGCTGTGTTATCGATGATGCTGCTTGCTCCTTCTCCCCATGGCAGAGGTGGATGAAGTATTCGGGCCTGGCTGTGTGTGGAGCCAACGTCGCCCATGCGCTGCTGTATCCCTGACAGTGCTGTCTCTCTCTATCTCTCTCTGTGCTTCCCACCCACCCATACTACTTGGTGTTACCGTCACCCCCGTGGCAGGGGTGGATGGAGTTTCTGGGCCTGGCTGTGTGTGGGGCCAACGTCTCGTATGGTGGCTCCGTTATTCTGCAAGTGCTCATCCTCATATCCACTGGTACACTCACCCGCATTGCTGGACTCAACATGTTTTTTGTTTTTTATGTTGCATGGATGAGATGA